GGAACCCAGAAGTGAGTTGGCATCATGCTTTTAATTATAGATTAGGCTGTTTCATAATTTCCACAGTATGATGCTGGCAGTATTAATCAGACCAAATCATCACGTTCCATGAAGTCAGTCACTGGGATGGTGACCGTCACTGCATGCTAGAGCACTCTATTTTTATTTCACTCAGCATCGGCCACAGCACTTCAAGAACGTGGAGGTAGAAATAAAGCTAAGAAGAATTTTTTCTCCACTTCCTCTTACAATGTGAAAAGAAAGTAACTGGTTGATTTATTGAACCTCAAAAATGTAACCATATGGATACTTTGTCCGTCATTCCCTTGAGTTGTTGTTGGTGGAGCTGAGGGTGAGAGGTGTGACTGTTTGCTGAATGCCCAGTTGTCTGTCCATCCTGAGAACAGGTGCCATCAAGCGAATGAATAAACGTGTTCCTATACCAAACTCACAAAGGTGCAGGTCACTGGTGATCACTGATGAACACTGGGTGCTAAGAAACACTACCGCTAACATCTGTGAATGACTACAGGAGGCCGACTCGTTTGACAATAAGATACTAAGACCCCCGTGTGAGGTCAGACCACTGGTCGGTCTGGTCCATCTTTTCTCAAGGCAGTGTAACCAACAGCTGAGCAGGAACACGCTCACGCACAGGGTGCTGTGGTCAGGGAGCCTGTCTTCTCCATGACCACTGTTACCTGCTTGGGGTGGGTGCTTTGCAGCCATCGATTCCCTGTGTGTCCTCCTAGTTGGTTGTCCTTTTGTTAACTTGAGTCCTTCTGGTTTTCATCTGAGCCATCTCTCTTGGTAAACAAAATGTTATTTGAGGTTTACTTACTGTGTGCCAGTCATTTTGATGGACACTAGTAGGGCTGAAATTCCCGATGTCCTTCCATGAGGCATATTCTGGTTCAGCAGGCATCTGTCTGAATGTCCATTTGCTGGTACTCGATATTTGTTAGCTACTTGTTAGAAAGTTTAACAACATACCCTTTTGGTACTTAAACAGTTTTGGTAGGAGTTTACAATCTGAGAAATATATATATATTTTTTTATCCTCACCCGAAGACAGATTTCCATTTTTTGTTCAGATAGAGTGGGAGGGAGAGAGAGAGAGAGAGAGAAACATCGATGTGAAAGGGACACATCGAGTGGTTGCTTCCCGCACGACCCAACCAGGGCCGGGGACAAACTGCAACCGAGGTACGTGCCCTTAGCGGGAACTGAACCCTGGTCTCTCTGGACCACAGGCCGACGCTCTAACCGCTGAGCCAAATCAGCCAGGGCAGAGAAATAAATTTTTTACATTCTATTTTAATTTTTCACCTTTGTATCTTGAGATACTGTGCTCTCTGTCTCTACTATCCGTTTTATGAAGTAGTGCTCCCTTGTTCTAATCCTTCTCTGGATTCAGGGGTCTCCATTAACCCATTTCAATATTGGGCTCATAAGTCAATCACCTGGTTCCCATATTTTATGATTTTATAGTGACCTTTAAACTCCCTCAGACCATGAAGCTGGAGTCTCCTTTTCACGCTGAGCACACTTTTATCCAGCCAGCCTTGGCCTCCATTTGCCTTTGTCCAGATCTTTTTCTGTTCAGTTAGCCTTATTCTGAGAGTCAATGACTGGAACTGGACAAGTCTCATTCCTTCAGATATTCTGAAATTGCTCTCAGTGGACAGAATGAACGCTGCCTTGGGCTCATTCCCGCCACACTGCACAGGGTTGGCCGTGGGCCAGCAAGCGTCGGTGCGCCTGGTTCTGGGTGATGCTTCTGTACATCGGGGAGGTCCAGTGTGCTACCAGCCTTCTGAGCCACAACAAGGGCAAAGTTGTTTGAAGCTAAATACTTTAAAAATAATAATAATACATAGGTGTCATAACACATCTTCTGAGTGAAGATTAAAGTGAATTATATAAAGCACTTAAAGAATACCTGCTATACAAATATTATTATTATTACTGTGTTGCTGTTAGACTTAAATAGTGAAAGTAAATTGTTCTGTTGTCCACAAATAACTGAAAACATATTTTGACTCCAGTTGCCTTCTATTTTCACTTTCCCAATATTTCCCTACTTCCTAAAATAAATCTTATCTGTTCTTCTTTCCCCAGTATCAGTACTTTCCAAATAAGCAGATATGTTCAAATGAGATCTTCTTATCTTTCCCTTAAAAGTTCTTCCCTCTTGTATGTAAAGTGGAAAATCTAGCTACTTAATAGCAAAATAGCAAGACATGGTGTATTTGTGTCTGCTGCCAACAGCCTGCTCTTACAGGCTAGAGAGTGCAGAACACGTCTGAATCCCCAGAGCAGAAATGCAGAGTAAGCTCCGGGGGGTGTGCGCATGGGCGTGGCACCGTGTGAAGGCGAGTGACCCAGCCTGGGGCACGTGGAGACCATGCTGCAAGCTGAGGACACGGCAGAGTGCAGCTTCTTCACTTAACTGTTTCTGCATTTGTGGCCCTCAGCTGTCCGAATCATGGTGAGAATGCTAGGGACGCATTTTCACACATAAAGTCGTTAGAAATCTTTATTTTATATTTTTAAAAGTTGTTACTTGTTTGCAGTGTCCACTTGTTGTTTCTATACCTAATGCTAGATTTTCAAAAAGGTGTGAGATTGTCCACCTCCAGCAGTGTCCGTTTTCTAAGTGTCCGTTCACGGAGAGACAGGGCAGAGCACACGAGTCTGAGGCCCGACACCTGCGGCTGCCTTAGGATTTCACTCCGCCTCTGCACAGGGAAGCAGTGTTACAAACGCGTGTGGGTTCACTTATTCAAACCATAAGTATTTGACATTGTTATTCAAGCAAGCTTGGCATTATCATGAAAATGTAGCGTGACTTGACATTTTGGAACACAATTTACATTGATGAGCGGTGAGGTGCCCGTTACCCAGAGGTGACAGAGGCACCTTACCTACGGGAGCTGTGTATTTTATCCCTGGGATTATTGCAGGAATCGTTTGCCTTCCAGAAATCACACATTTCTCTTCTGTGGGAAATCAAAGAGGTGGCCAGGACTCATCTTTGGCCTTTCCTCTCTCTCGAACCTGTGCTACGGAACCACCTTCTCGTTGGAACCAGGATCCCACTGCTGTGTGGGATCGAATGGTTTGAAGATGGGGGGGGGGGGGTGAGAGGAGAGAATTGAACTACGAGTTAATGGCATTGATTTGCACCTTCTAGAAGTTAGGTTCTGCTCTCAGGGTCGATGTATCTGAATTGCCTCAGTAACACCACACACCACTTAACGAGGAGCCGCTGTGCCATTGTCCATGCAGGCTATCAGAAGGCCAGACAGGCGCCTGTCCCAGATGGGCAGCCGAAACATGTCAAACCCGAGTCAACGTCACTTCCTCCAGTGTCCCGGTCTGAGTGGTGGACAGTTTCAGGGCCACTGTTTATATATTTACACCCACAGTATCGGCATATCTATTCCTTTTGATGTTACTGACCCCTTAATTTTATAATGAAAAGAGAAATACTGTTAATAATAGTTCACACAGTCCAATTTTAAGTCTTTTAGACAATATTTCAAAAACATTGTAAATAAGAGACTGAATAGCTTCATGCTAATGTATAGTAATGACTAGAGTTACTCAATAATTTTTATCTTCTCCCTAGGGGGTCATATTAGAATATTTTTCCTAATTACTACCCCCCATCACTGTAATTTTAATGCCACAGATATTCTCTTTGTGTCTGTGCTGTGGCTCTTTTGGGAGGGGCTGGCGGCCACAGCATCGTGGCTCTTCCTTCTCCAGGAATCAGCGTCCACTCCACTGCGAGTGGACAGCTCTCATGAGATGCCTGGTGTAGGCCGAGCGAGGTCGGAGCCGTGCACGCCAGTCTGGTTAGACAGTGGTTCACAGATGTCACCTCTGGGCCACAGCACAGCATCTCCTAAAACCATGTCACAGACCATGTTCTGGGGCCTCGCCCAGTCCTGCAGAACCGGGAACTCTGGGCGCCCTGCGGTCTGCCCAGCCAGCCCGCCAGGCCGTCTGGCGCCCACGGCAAAGCTCGCCACCACTGGCGGGGGTGGCCCGCTGGAGGCGGCCCGTGCTGTCACGACACTGAGCAAGTTACATGAAAGCTGTTTTCCACCTGGATGTGGCCGGGATCATTCCTGGTTTGAAACCTCGCACACAGCCTTCTCTGCCTCCCCTGTTGGGGTCCTCCTGAGAACCCCCTGTCTGCCATGGGTGGGAAAGAAGGGGACCCAGCCCCCCTCACCCTCTGCAGGAGGACGTTTTCCCATGTTTGAAAGAGAACTCTCAGCATACTGGTTATGACTACACTGACAAAGCCCGAATTCCCCAGAACAGTAGGTAGGAAAATAAGCAAATGTTTACAGGCTTTACTGGTGAACAGCCCATCACGGGAGGAGAACAAGTGCGAACGAGGGTGCCCACGCCCTGGCAGAAGGAGTTGTGAGCAGAAGTGGAAGACAGAGGAGCAAGCTCTTTTCTTTCTTAAATTGTCCTTTTTGTTTTTACAAAAGTAAGAGTCACTGTGACTTCTTAGTCCCCCTGAGCTCTTTCCGACTCCATTCTCCTGCCTGCCATTCTAATCACCTACTTGGCACCGACTGGCCCACCCTCTTGGCCGACTTTTTTCCAGCTCAGATATATGTACCCCGGTAACAGTCAGGAGTATTTATCCTCACGTGTGGCGTGAGTACAGCGAGGGCTTACCCTGCACAGCGAGAGCAGCAGAAGCCAGGCTGCTAGAGGGAGGCCCACAGCGCACCAGCCAGGGCCCCGGCTCCGGGGCTCGGCACATGTGGCCGCTCGGCTTCCACGGGACAGCTCCAACGCAGGCCCTCCCAAGTCTGCACGTGACAAAATGCACAGCAGATAACTGGATCTCCACTTTGGTGATAGGAAGAATGTCATGTGCTTCAGACCATACGATTTGAATGAAAAATCAAATGTGCAATGGAGAAGAAACATTTTCAAGTTTTTTTCTGTGTTCTGTTTTGTTTTAGATGGAGCTTGCTAAGGAAGAAAAGTGTGAATTTCTGCCCTTCCTGTCCCCACGGAAGGTTCTATTGAAAGGAGGGAGAATTGTGGGTATGCAGTTTGTGCGGACCGAGCAGGACGAAGCTGGGAACTGGATTGAAGATGAAGAGCAGAGGGTCCAGCTGAAAGCCGATGTGGTCATCAGTGCCTTCGGCTCCGTCCTGAGCGACCCTGACGGTACGCCCCTCCCCCCGCGCCACAATAGCTTCCAGCCTTCGGGGGCTTCACTTTGAAGCGTATTTCCTTCTTCTTGTAGGGAATGCAAGCAGTCTTGATTTAAGAAGCTTAGAGATGGTATTTAATGCTTGTTATACAGGATTATTTTTAAAGTGAGGGATTTGAAAAGAACATTAATCTTCCTTTTAAGCCGATAATCAAAATACATATTCTACTTTGTTCAGATGTTGGCCGTGTTTCTTCCAGAAGAACGATGTTTCCTTCCATTAGACCTGGGGTGGCGGGGGGCAGAGAAGCTGTGTCAGGCAGCCCTCAGTATTCAGACCCAGGAGGGCCTCGTGACTAGGCGGAAACAGGTGTGGTTGGGATGGTCCAGCCAGCACTAGAGACATCCAGTGAGGAAGCCTGAACCCAAGTCATTTCCTCTGGACGGGGAGCGGCCGTGCTCAGGAAGGGAAGCGGGCCCTGCGAGAGGTGACGAGAAAAGGAGATGCTGTGCATCACATCCCAGCTGAAGGGCAAGTCAGCACTGAGGCCGTCCTGTGACGTTGCCCACACAGGGTGCCAAGGCCCTGCATGCCTTCCTTTGCAAACCCTTTACCTTCTGGTACACACTGTTGAAATAACAGTTCACTCATTTATTTACTGAAAGGAAAAGAAAAAAAAGACATTTCTCAGTCAGAGATTCATTGAGAACAAGGATCAGAACACACCTAGCCCTGTCTCGGACCTGCACTTGTGTCTGAGCCAGGGAGGGAGACATGCAAATATGGGGACACGCCTCGGCAGCTTATCTGGAAGACATCAAACATCTCGGTACCTGGGAACTTCCAGATGTTTAATGTCATCAAGATAAATGTTTTCAAATAGCTGAATGATGGCCTGAATTTCTCACTTTTCTTCTTGATGTCTCTGTGACCAGCAGACACAGTCAGTGTGGTCTGTTTATTCATTAACTGGGTTCGGTGAGAAAGAAAGAGCAATGTGTCAATTGCATCCTATTATCTAAAAATGCGTCCGCTGCTTCCTACTCTGCACGTCGCCAAAGACGGAGTAGAATTTGAATCGTGTTTAACCAATAATCCTCTTGATGGTTCGCCTACCCAACAATCATTAGCTACCCATCTAAATTTATATTGCACAACTGACAACTCGAATATTAAGAAAAATGTATCTTTTCCTAAGCAAACCAATATATCTATATTATGCATTTCCTATCATAAAAATGTTAAATGCCTCAACACTTGATAGAAAAGATACACATATGAAATATTTAAAACAAATTTGGATAATATCCTTGGATTAAAGTTGCTAATTATTTCATTGCTACTGAGGCTAATGACAGTTATGAGTAACCGTCATTATTTTACCCAGTTCTGTTTCATGCGATCTCCTTCCTTGGGTTGTAGCAGTGAGTGGGAAATGGGGACCGGAGATGCGCGTGCCCTGCGCGTGGAGCAGACATGTGCCTGCTTATGGCGAGCACAGGGCAGCTGCGCCTTTCGTTACTGCTGGCCCGTATTCGGAGACAGCGTGGTGTCCAGCTTCTGATTTGGTTGAAATAATAAAGCCTTAGCCTTATTCAATATCTCTCCCATGAAAAATGCAAAGTGGTTCCTCCTTTTAAAAATTCTCATCCAGCCTGGCCGGTGTGGCCCAGTGGATGGAGCAGTCACCCCGGGGACTGAGAGGTCCCGGTTAGATTCTCGGTCAGGGCACATGCCTAGGTGTTAGGCTTGATCCCCAGTTGGGGGCGTGCAGGAGGAACTGGCTGATGTTTTTCTCTATAAAAATCAATAAAGAAAAAAAATTTAAAAAATAAAAAAAGGTAACAGTTGAACAACATTATTTCAATGATATATTCTCCGATTAAAGACAAAAAGAAGTGTAAATAAATACTGAATTCTAGTTAGTAAATTTTTCCCTAGTGGTATGCTTTAACAATTCTAAAATTATTTTCCATGTATTCTACAATTCAGCAAAATAGATATATAAAATAAATAATCAATAAAAACATATTTAAAAAATAAATAAAAATAACAAAATTAAAATGCTCATCCATTACCTCTAACTATGCAAGATTCCTGATCATATTAAATTGAGGTTTTATTGTTTGAAACTGATTTTCAAGGCTGTTGGTAAATCAAGCACAAGGAACCTCCAAACAGCATTTCTGCTCCACAAATTTCCTTCCCTGGAATTTTTAAATTGCGTATTTTAAAAATACAGATTTCGTAACATAGGAAGTCTCTTCTGCTGAACCGACATTTGAATTAATTCTCCTCTCTCTCTCTCTCTCTCTCTCTCTCTCTCTCGGATAGTCGAACACTGAAGAGACTCTGGGTGATTCTGTCCCCTTCTTGTGCAGCGGTGGTGCCAGGGGCAAAGGTGTGCACGTGTCCGTTTGCACTCTGTGAGGGGACATGTTGCCATTTGACTGACCTTACAGCTTGCTGTTTGCAATGGCGGCAGTAACAGCTGGCCTTGTCCCCACGTCCCTGCGAGATGAGGTGACAGAGTCCCATGTGTCTTTGAAGGCACCCCAGACACCTGCTCACTCTTTGGAAATGTCCACTTTGAAAAGATATATTCAAACTATATTGTAAACCCACAAGAGGCAGAAACTGTACCATTGCAGTGTGTTGTAGTTCCAATAGCAGCCAATGTATTAATCTGCCCAAACAGACACATGGTGTGTATTTGTGCATTTGACTTGACTTGAGTCATGTTAAGATACTCATCTTATTAGACCTAGTTGTTATTTTTTTCCTACTCTGGGGTAGGTTTGGTTTATTTTTCTTAGAAAATATTTTTAAAATAGTTCAATTTTTCTACAGCCATTGATTCCCCCCGTTTTATCATACATTGTTGCATTCTTTATAATCCAATAAACATTACGCTCATTGGCATCAGTCCGGTGTAGCAGCTGGAGCCAGGTGGTGCCCTCAGAAACCTGGCCTCCTGAGTCCCTTGTACTTCATGGTCCTGACCTCTTCAGAGGGATGATTCCGTATCTACTGTCTCGAGTTGTTTTAGTAATTAATTAACTAGAATATATGTAAAGCACTTAGATATATTCCTAGTGCATGGTGTGCATCTCTGAAGTTTCAGATGTTATCCTGTGCAACAAAACAGTGTTTTATTTTATTTTATCTTTTAGTTGAAAGTATTACAGATGTTTCCCCATTTCCCCTCATTGGCCCCCTCCTCTCCACTCCACTCCCTCCCCCATCAGGACTTCACCACAGTATTATATGTGTCCACAGACAAAACCATAATTTAATCATTAAATTGAGTTCTATCTCAGCCCTGTGATAGTATGACTGTTGTCCAGAGGTAAGAGCATCTGAAAATCAGAACCTCGGCTGAGGCCTCTCGGGCCCTGTTGTCCTTTTTTTTTTTTTTTTCAAATCTTTATTGTTGGATGTAAAATGTATTACATATGTTCCACATTTTTCCCCCATTGACCCCCTCCTCCTCACTCCCGCCCCCCTCCCACCTTTTCCCACACTATTGTCTGTGTCCATTGGTTATGCATATAAGTTCTTTGGTTTATTTTTTCCCACCCCTCCCAGCCCCTTTCCCTTTGAGGTTTGTCAGTTTAGCAATGAATTTGTGCTTCTTAATCCCTTCACCTTTTTCACCCATTCCCCCAACCCCCCTCCCAACTGGCAACCAACAAAATGTTCTCTGTATCTATGAGAATGTTTCTGTTCTACCTGTTCATTTTGTTTGTAGATTCCATTGTTGATAGATATGTATTCATTGCCATTTTGTTTGTTCATACATTTTATCTTTTTCTTCAAAAAGACCCTTCATCATTTCATATAATAACGGTTTGGTAGTGATGAACTCCTTTAACTTTTTCTTGTCTGGGAAAGTTTTTATATGGCCATCGATTCTAAATGACAGCTTTGCAGGATAGAGTAATTTTGGTTGTAGGTTCTTGGTTTTCATCACTCTGAATATTTCTTGCCACTCCCTTCTGGCCTGCAAAGTTTCTTTTGAGAAATCAGCTGACAGCCTAATGGGAACTCCCTTGTAGGTAACTAGTTGCCTTTCTCATGCTGCTTTTAAGATTCTCTCTCTGTCTTGAACCTTTTGCATTTTGATGATGATGTGTCTTGGTGTGGGCCTCTTGGGGTTCATCTTGTTTGGGACTCTCTGTGCTTCCTGGACTTGTATGTCTGTTTCCTTCACCAAGTTAGGAAAGTTTTCTGCCATTATTGTTTCAAACAGGTTTTCGATTTCTTGTTCTCTCTCTTCTCCTTCCGGCACCCCCAAGATGCAAATGTTGGCACGCTTGAAGTTGTCCCAGAGGCTCCTTACACTATCCTCATTTTTTTGGATTCTTTTTTCTTTTTGCTGTTCTGATTGGGGATTTTTTGCTTCCTTATATTCCAAATCGATGGTTTGCTCCTTGGATTTACATACTCTATTATTAAAGCTGTGTAAATTATTCTTTATTTCAGTTAATGCCTCCTTCAATTCTAACTGTGTTTTCACGATTTCTAACTGGTCCTTTTTTATGCTCTTGAGGCCCTCCCTAAGTTCACTGAGGTTCTCCCTAAGTTCATTGAGCATCCTTATAAGCAGTATTTTGAACTCAGTATCTGTTAGGTTGCTTATCTCCCTTTCGCTTAGTTCTTTTATTGGGGTTTTGTTTTGTTCTTTCATTTGGGACCTGTTTCTTTGTCTCCTCATTTTGGCTGCCTCCCTGTGTTTATTTCTGTGTATTACTTAATGAGAGGTATGGGGCTTGCTGAGACCCGATGCTGCTCGTTTGAAAGAATTTAGGAAAAACCTGAAGCAGGATCCAAGACCAGCCAATCCTATGGTTAAGCAAGTGGCAACAGCTTGGGTGGGCCTGAAAGTTGGGTGGGGCGGGGCGGGGTGGGGCGGGGCCTCAGGGAGTCAGCAGGGCGGGGCTACCAGTGTGAGCCAGGTTGCTGGAGTCCCAGATATGGCGGCTGTCTGCCGCCCCAGGGAAGGGCTCACCA